CATTATACACATGAAAATCATACTTTTATTTCAGTTACTTGCACCAAAGTGCTATATTATAACTTTAAAGATAATTACATTTGGGGCAATAAGATGTGATGATGTCATCCATATGCCAAAAAGCAGTTACTCAAGCAACTGGATATGAAATCATCCATATGGTCCATAAAATCATATTCATAACCCTTTTGTACCCAGGTATCAATATTGAGTATACAACTAAAGTTCTTTCTAAATTTCTTTGTGAGAAAACGATGGAAAGCTAAAATGCCAAATTAGCCAGGGAGGACACCTTAAGCTGTGCTTAAAGATTGGAATTCTTGAAGTGCAGGATTATACATCTGTCGTAAATCTGCGTAGTTTGACCTTTGGAGAGATACCCAGGTTAGATTTTAGGATCAAAGATGTCGTTCACAACAATGGGTTGCATTCAAGGAACTTTTTGAAGCCCAAGGGCAGAATTACATGTTCTCTTCGGGGCAACAGAAGCTCTTCCCCGCCCGCCTCAGCTAGGTTCCCCGGTAGGTTTTGCACGACGGGATCCCCACTTGGAATTAGCCCCCCTTGGAAATCAACTCCCAGCGTGCAAAACTCTAGGACAGGAGTAACACTCCAACCGGGCGGCCTGTTGAGCTGGACGGGGGAAAACTTATTAGAGCCCGGAAGAGATCCTGCTCCAAACACGATAGACTGGAGACCATCTAACATAATTATGCGTCTTCATTGAGCCTATGCCGGTGCCACAAGGTTCCAAAACAGCAGAGCGAATTCCTTGAACCTCGAAGATTGGCCAACCTCTGCTACTGTTCCTTTAAAGTAATGCATTCATGAGTACATCACGTTGGTCGAGGTAGGCCTATATATATCCTGCAAATGGATCGCGTGCTATAAGCAAGACATCCAATATATAAAGCTCTGTCGTTTCTTAAGAACTTCCCACATGTGAAGTGATGAAGTATTCAAGTGTTGAAGAGCATCATGACGTTGATAAAGGTCCAAAGGGTCGGGAGAAGATGTCGAGCTAAAAGCTAAATGTTAGTAAATTGTCGCTCTTTCATAGACATTTTCCACTACTTTTACCCGAGATGAAATAGGTTTCTCAATGTGTAAGTCATGATTGGTCCTCTCTAGATACATTTCCTTGACTTCCAAGAGAAGGGTGAAGTGAAAAGTGGAACCTCCGCTTCACTCAGTTGGTTAGTTCCATGTGCATTTGCATTTTGTAACTAAGAAGTCGTCTAGGGTCGTGTGGTGTAGCGGCAGAGCGCTCGACTCGGAACCAAGAGGTCCCGGGTTCGAGTCCTGACATGCCACCGATCTTGTGCCCTTGGGAAAGGCACTTTACACGACTTTCCTCACTTCGCTCAGGTGAAAATGAGTATTGTATTGTCCCCTGTGCACATGTGTTGGTGGTTGCATTAATATAAGTTGAAAAAAACTTGAGTGTGCCGTCACACGTCGTGTTAGAATATTAAAAAAAACTTCCCCCATGTGAAGAGTTGAAGTATTCAAGTGCTGAAATAACATCATGACGTTTATGAAGGTCCAAAGGGTCGGGAGAAGATGCCGAGCTAAAAGCCAAATGTGAGTAAATTGTCGCTCTTTCGTAGACATTCCCACAACTTTTACCCGAGATGAAAAGGGTTCCTCGATGTGGAAGTCATAATTGGTCCTCTCTAAATACATCAAACAGTTTTCGTGCGGAGAGTTTCCTTGATTTCCAAGGATAAGAGAAGAGTAAAGCGAAAAGTAGAACGTCGAGGATCCGCTTCACTCAGTTGGTTAGCTTAAAATGCATTTGCACTTTGTAACTAAAAGCACTTAAAGCGAATTCAAGGCCGAAAGACCGAATTTTCAAAGTCATTTTTTTACGGCTTCAGCTTTTTGGCTGTGTTATTGAAAATGTACTATAGCAGTGTGTTACCATATTTGGGTATGAGTCATCAGAATGGCATGCAGAGCAAGCAACCAATAGGCATGCAGCTTTCCTCTATTCTTCTTGCTGATTGGTTGTTGGGATTTGATTGGCTTAATTCAATCAATACCTGCATGTACAAAGCCATGCCATATTGACAGTATGAATTGCATTCAAGTGTTTTGGTAGGTATGTCAAGCTTTTCTGCTCCAGCATTGGAATGCGGGGCATAAACGCTTCTTTTTATCTTGAAAATCAACAGTTTGCATTATGCAATTAAAAATCCCAGCAACCAATAATGTAGGGGATAGTTATCCAACTGTTGTCACTTCATACTATAGTTATATCAATGTAAAGAAGTGTTTTCTTTTGTGTTTCTCCTTCTTTTCCTGCCATGTCGTGACATGTGGTGAAGCCATCCGCTACATTTGCTCCAAAGCAAATGTCGGCCTTTCTAGTCTCGTCATATTTTTAATGAAGCAAGTTGAATCAGCAATATCTGACATCATACTGATATCTATGAGAAAAAATGCGATGTCCCTCATGGAAAATGGTTGCTTGTTTCGCATCGGTCTGGCTGGTTCTAGCTATTTAGTGGTGGTAACTTACTTCTGAGCTATTTCAAACGCTTCGTGTATATAATGATAACGAAAATGTGATAAGAAATGGCAGTAGATGTAAATATCAGATGGATTTCTTCATCCAGAAAATTTCTAGTTTTGCCGCCATGAAGTTTGGTTGAATGCCTTTAACTAAATAGAGGTCGAGTCAAATAATGAATATGTCTAGCTTTACCGAAATTGTCAGTGGAACCACGAGTGGTACACCTCTTCAAGATCTTTAGAAGGCAAATTCGAAGCACACACACATACACCAACCCAGACGAGTTATATTTGAGAAAGGGCTGCCTATTCATAGGTATATCATATAGCGTTATGCATGTTGTGCAAATATGGCGACGGTGTGGAGTCTATTAAACACTACTGACAACGTTTCCAGATGTAAATATTTACATTTTCGATTAGTTGTTTTAAAATTATGTGCCTCATAACATAGAGACGTTTGAATATAGCATGCATGGGTCCTGCTATGATGACAATGATGGGTCTTGCAGTAGATACCAAGGAACGTTGAACGGATATTTCAAAAGAACCACGTAGACTACATCATTCTGTATATTGAAATAGATATTCTTGCATAACCAAAAGTTCATCGTTTAATGGTGGCGAGGTGGTTAGGGTTGTTAACTCAGAATCGGAAGGTTCTGGATTCGAATCCCTGGCAATCCCCTGTGTTGTGATTTTGGGAAAGGCACTTTACACATATTTCCTCAGTCGACTCAGCTTCTGTTCGGGACGT